TGGAGGTATGTGTCTCACGAAGACACTGTAGTTAGCGACACTCTCGCGGCACATAGAAGCATGCCGTTTGGCTGTGTACCACGAGAACTCAGTATATATCAAAAACAATGTTATTGAAAAAGTAATGTAGGAAGCAATCAGAGTAGACACCATTGACGGACTACGGGTCGCCAGGTGGCCCACGCTCCACCTAGCGAGCTCATCTTGATTGCCCGGTCCGGAACCCTGGTATTTATACACTGGTATCAAGTAGATAGCATTCAAACAGCCTACAACGGCCACTCTGGTACCAAGTCGCAATAGTCGGATAAACGCTATCGCGTCGAGGCCAGCGTTTTCGAGGAGCTCGTCATCAGTGATCTTGATAATACCAGGGATCCAACCCATGAAAGCACCATAGACTCTCGAGGACAGCGGACATCGTAACTTCTCTATACACTGACGAGGCTGGTAAAGTGACAGGAACCTGCCCCTCAGAGGACTGTAGATAGTGACCGCGGCAACAAAGGTACCCAAAAAGATGGCACCAGACAACAGGACGGCGCTCTGACCTAGTTGGATAGCTACGGTAGGAGTTGCTGACATAGCGACAAAATGCAGGGAAATGAACTGGAGGCGACTCGCAAGTCATACGCGGTTGGTCACCTGTATAGTTCACGTCGAGAGCACAGACACAAAGGCTACGCACAGCAACCAGGAGCAATATAGGAAAATATACACATGGTCAACTGCGTCGAAAATTTGAGAATACTTTAGGGATGAAAGTGTTGATATTTCTGCACTTGCTCCCAAAGTCATATATAGAAATTCATGATGTAGTGAAGTTGTGGAAGCGGATCCTGCCGAGACAAAAGGGAGTACATTGTAGAGGTTATCTCGCCCTGTGGACAAAACTCATTCGCATGATGAAAGTAAACAATTTAAGAGGCTAAAACTGATGATCCCTCGGGAGCTAATGTGCATCGATGCGATTCTAACTAGGCTGTGCTGTCAGTGTGGGACTTTGAACTCACACACACATGATGTAGTGAAGAAACCTAACATATATTCTAACACTGCTCGGTTATAGGCTTCATAGTTAAAATACAGAGTTCAGATAGAAATGTACAGAAGCCTATGAGCATTTCCTAAAATTCCTTCAGACTTACATATTGAAACACATGTACTTGTCCAGGTGCATATTTCCCCACACTCTACAGTGTGGTTTTCTGTGCTGGGCCAAGCTCCCGGCCTGACTGCGGTAGTCGGCCCTTTTGTAATAATGATAGAAGTGCTCACTACCTGAATGCTGACGAGTTAGAAACCAGGTAAATGCACACGAGATTCCATATCGTTGTCGAGCCGCTCGAGTAGTTCATTGTCGAGTACTCTTGGCAGGGGGAGTTCAGGGATGAGTTTCTCTGATGGGTATCTGAAGCTGTTTGTAACGTTATGGATCTCAAGTATATGTATATGACGTTAGGAAGGCTCAGTACGAGATCGAGCATGAAGTTGATGTTATGATGACCACTGAAGGCCCTGACCAAGTAGAGGCCGAGATGGACGGCTTCGGTGAATATGTTACTAAGAAGTGGCTAATTGTGCATTACACTTTCCTCGGCGAATATCAGAATGGTTATTCTGATTGGGGTTATGCGCA